ATATAGTTGCGCTGAACAGAATAAAAACTGTCGTCGTTTGCTTGTTATAGCTGCAATGAATTAAAGTAAATCCCCGTCGCCAATTGTTATAACTGCACTGAATTAAGGTAAAACCCCGTCGCCAATTTGTTATAACGGTAGGGGATTGAATGAAGACGTTTTCACCTTATTCTGTCTGCGCCTGAACTAATCTGTCTATCTGCTCGTCGTACCTTCCGACTTAGTAAAGCACGCAAATATCAAAAGACAAAGGCTGGACTGTGACTGTGTATTGAAGTGCAACAACGATAAAGAAAGCCATGGTATTTATACATTTTACAACAATATGGACAGCTAACAGCATTTGAAATAATTGACCTTAATAGCCAATAACAAAGTGTGTGAGAAATGCTAATATGCCATATGTGCGACATTGACAGTCAGTAACAAAATGTGTGGGAATGATATACCATATATACAAAATTAGCAGTCACTACCAAAATGCGTGAGAATGACAATATACAAAATTAACAGTCACTACCAAAATGCGTGTGAATGATAATATACAAAATTAGCAGTCAATACCAAAATGCGTGGGAATGTTAACATACCATATATGCAAGTTTAAACAGTCAATACCAAAATATGTGGGATCCTATCACCATCTGCCTCACACCTCGTCTCGCTGACACCTTGTTTCTTGCTGCCAGTGGCTCGGATGAGTTGGAACAGCTTCCGACCGTTGCCAGATGCAGCAGATGACTCCATCTCACACGCACGTTCTGACCACCAGGCTTCGCGGTCCTTACGTAAACACTGTCTTACCTTGCGCGTGAGCGCCTTTCGCTTATTGTTGTATTCGCTGCTAGCCGGATTGGACCGGCGTTCATCCATGAGTTGCAAGGAACTCGCAGAAACCCAGTGGTTTTTAGCGGAGCATTCTTTCAAGCCGCAAGCAGCTACACTCGCCCTTTGCATGGCACCTTGAAGATGAAGCTAATGTTCATCTATACTACTTGGGTGATTGCTGCCAAGCATTGATTGTAACTCACTCTGGTATTTCAAAGAAGTAGTAGGTGCTACTAGTTTGCGCACATCAACGTTTATACGACACCTTTTATGAGCCCCACCAAATCCCAAGACGAACTTGGCACACACTAACGCATGATCGGAGTCCCGGGATGTGCTCCAGTATGAGTGACAGTCTTGTATGCATCCTCGCCACCGGAAACTGACAGCAATATGATAAAATCTGAGTCCAAGCTTGATTAGCAGAGGGAGGAGGCCAGGTAGCGCTACGGCGATGGCTATGCCGGAAGTTGGTACTGGCTAGAAATAGGTTGTGATCCGACCAAAGATGCAGAAGACGATCCCCATTATCTGACCTGCGACCATGTAGTCCCCATTGACCACCTAGACGATTCTCCTCTGAGCTTAGACGCCCGACCTGTGCATTCAAGTCCCCAGCCAACACTACGATATCCCTCCGACCAGCCTGTTTCAAGAGATCGCTCAGTTGGTAGTAAAACTCATCCTTCATTGCATCCGGGCTGCAATCCGTCGGCGCATAGGCAGAGCCAACAAACAGACACCACCTATCTGGCCTACTACTCCTTACTTTCGTATAACCTTCCAGCCTCACAGCACATAAACGACTGTTAATGGGAATCCAGTCGAGCAATGCAGCTTCGGCTCTAGCACTCAGTGCGACACTGACACCAGCTACGCCATATGCCGACGCCACAGGGTCCCCGGATAAGCGCAGGTGGTACATACTACTAGAACTTCCAGATGGAAAGGATAACTGAAGCACTTCACTAGGATCATGAATGCGGGTCTCCGAAATGCAGCAGTCATCGATAGCGAGGTTTTCCAAAGTTCTTACCAACCCTGTCTGTTGTCCGATTTGTATCAGCGTCCGAACAATGTAGGTGGCCAGCTTGGACGCGACATGCGGTTTCACACAAGGATATGCACAAAGCGACATTGATTTCACCAGATGGACACACCAAAAACCAGATAGACTTCATTTCAATCTCAAGAAAGTGGAGACGGAGCCTCCTGGACACAACGTCAAGGAGAGGAGCAGATGTGGGTTCAGACCACTATCTAGTACAAGGGACCTTCAAGGTGAAACTAAAAGCCTCGAGGATAGCTGGGGATAGGACACAATGCAAGTTCAACACTCAATTACTGAAGGACACAACCACAAAAGACACCTTCACTGCAACTGTCAGAGCAAAGCAGGAAATACTACGTGACAACACTGAGGAATCATGCGTGGAAGAACATTGGAACTCTCGGAAGGTGATTTTCAAAGAAACCTGTTCAATTGGTTTAGGAAGAGAGAAGAGACAAGACAAGGAATGGCTCTCAACGGACACTTGGAAGCTAACAGAGGAGCGGAGAATAGTGACAGAGAAAATGATTCAATGCAAGGGCGGACAGGAGAAGGAGACGCTGAGCTCAACGTACACAGCACTGGACAAAGAAGTGAAGAAGAGTGCTAGGAAGGACAAAAGACGATTCTACGACAACCTGGCCACTGAAGCTGAGAAGGCAGCAAGCAAACGGGGCTTGAGGACACTATATCAGATAACCAAGTCTCTATGTGGGAGGAAATCAACACAAGCGAAACCTATAAAAGACAGCCAAGGGAACACAATTACCAAGGAAGAAAGACAGATTAAACAACGGACGGGCCACTTCAAAAGACTCTTGAACCAACCATCACCTGCAACCCGTCCAGAAATACCAACAACAGGGCGCACACAACTGCAAGGTGACACCAATCCTCCAACAAAAGCTGAAGTCTTGAATGCAGTCAAACTTCTGAAAGCTGGAAAAACAGCCAGGCCAGATGGAATACCCCCTGAAGCACTGAAAGCGGACCCAGAGACTACAGCAGATATGCTGACTCCATTATTGCAAAAGGTCTGGAAGGAGGGAAAGGTGCCTACTGACTGGAGGAAAGGTTACCTCGTGAAACTACCAAAGGAGGGCGACTTACGCCCCACTCTGCAAGAACTGGCGAGGAATCATGCTCCTGTCGACGCCAAGTAAAATCCTGAGTTGCATCATCCTGGAGAGAATAAAGGACGCACTGGATACAGAATTCCGACCAGAACAAGCTGGATTCAGGAAAGTCAGGTAAATCATCTTCTGACCAAATTGCGACTCCACGAATCATCATCGAACAAAGCATGGAATGGCTATCAAACCTCTACCTCAACTTTATAGACTTAGACTTTGAGAAGGCCTTCGACAGCGTTGACTGCGAAGTAATTTGGAAACTACTCGAGTACTACGGCGTACCCGAAATATTCATCAACCTTATTCAACAGCTGTACAACAAAGACACATGTCAAGTGATCCACAACGGAAAACTCAGCGAGGCGTTTGGAGGAAACACAGGAGTCAGACAAGGGTGCTTATTATCACCAATGATATTCTTATTTGTGGTGAACTGGATTATGCGTCAGACAGTGAATGGGAAACGAGAAGACAGGGATATTCTAGACCGACGTGAAGAACCTAGAAGACCTGGATTTCGCGCGTGGATGATTTATGTTTGATGTTACACAAAATCGAAGACTTACAAGCGAAGACCGACAAACTGGTCGAAGAAGCAGGTAGTGAAGACAGGACTCCAGGTGAACATAGACAAACGGAGGTGATGAAAAAACCAACCAACAACGGCAGCGAAATCCAGCGTCAATCACCATCAACTGTAGGAATTTGAAAGAGGTTACTTCATTCACTTACTTATCTAGGGAGCATTGTCTCAACTACAGGCAGTCGGAACGGACGAGGATGCCAAATCGAGTGAGAATCTGGAAATCCTCGTCACTCAGCATCAACAACAAAATTCGGTCGGATTTCCAATACAAACGTCAAATCAGTCAGTTCTTCTACACGGATCAGAAACTTGGCGCGTAGGTCACTAAGAATATTTCCAACAGCCTGTTGCAGACCTTTCTCAACAAGTGTCTTCGCTCTATACTGAAGATCAGATGGCGAGGCCGGAAAGAATCACCAACAAGAAACTATGGGAAAAAACAAAACAAGAACCAATCGCCAACCAACAAATATGCAGGAGAAAGTGGAGATGGATTGGACACTCGCTGAGGAGGCCGGTTGATGACATCACGCGTCAGGCCATTACTCGAGTGGAACCCCAAAAGGAAGCGGCGAGTGGGACGTCCAAGGGTGACATGGAGCAGATCATGTGAAGAGGAGTTGAAACAGTATGGACTAACATGGATGCAGGTGAAAAGCACAGCAGAAGACAGAAGCAAGTGGAGACGTGTAGTTGAAGCCCTATGTTCCACTAGGAACCCAAGGGAACAATAACACAATAATAATAATATGCCGTTGCATTTAAGAATATGCAAACGAAGTCATTCATTTTATATACCATATACTGCACTATCATGATGACTTATGATTTAAGACAAGTTGCTAAGCCATTCGAACACAGCACCATAAATAGACTGGACACTTGTTCGAATATACCGAATAACTTAGCAACATGCTCCACGCTATTAGCCCTCCTTCAACATACCAGCACAACAAGCTGATAAATTTGAAAGGCATAACTTCTGGCCTCACTAGTCTTGCTAACTTTAGTAATCATTGTGACAAAATACAAAGGACAATAAGAAAATCACAGACCTTACATTGGTTGCGAAATCTGCAAATATGATTATGTTCCTAATCTATCTCTTGTTGGATTTTTCTTAGTGCTATGAATTTCTTCTAGCGTCTGTTCTTCATTTCCTTTTCCAGTAACAAATTATTGACACGTTACTTAAGTTTATTTATAAAAAGCACGAACCATATTGCATTCAGTAAATCGAAGTACTGAAAGTATCTCCTACTTCACTGGATAATTTAACGGATCAGTAAGAGCATGAGACATAGCACAGGAGAATTTAGTATGTGAAAAACGATTTGATTAAAATAAAAAATTTGCATTAATCAAAATGTAAGGACCACGAGAGTTTCATCATGAAAAATACCTTCAACTCCGGAAACGTTGACGAGATCCCAGATACAATAATTTGATGAGATCCCAGATCAGCGTCAGTTAACAGTTCTTTTTTAAGCGTACCTCCAGATTTTATGCGTGAATTCAATTTGTTCGTGTAGTGTATAGATTTTATAAGACCACCAGCTTCTTCAGAAAGATGTATACACCGAGTTAACAGCCTTCGGACACTAATAACCTCGCCTTTCAGATGTCCAATAGGATTGAATGACGATAAGTAGTAAAGGAATATGACCAAAACGCTTATAATCAAGACACACCATCCATGAGTACTCAACCGGATAACCATCATATCGGTAAGATGGCTGAAGAAATACCCGCTTATGTGAATTTTAAATTTCTCTCGTATGTACCAAGTAAGAAGTGAAAATTAGACTGTAGAAGTTGTTAGAACTTCTTAATGATGCCTACAAAGGGAAACACAAATAGCGGTTTAAAAACCCAGAAGTTAAGGGATACTTTGTATAAATAAAGACCGTATAATTCCTTTAAACAAGACAGTGTAGAATATAAAAACACAACAAAAAGGAGGCAACAAAAGCCGACATTATATTGCTTACTTTAGAATGAGGGATGAACTGAACTGGCATTTAACTGTTTTGTCTGTAACACTACCATAGGATGAATAAACTCCTCTTGTGATGTAAATTCGCTTCTAAATTTAAAAATGACTGACCAGTCGCTTTCTAATTAATGTGGCCTGATTTAGTGTTTTAACTGGTCACCAATGATGATGCAATTAGCACCCACCAGCCGCGTGAATTCCATTCAGCTTTCCGAATATCTTACAAATTTAGGTAATAATTGAAGAGAAAAGAAATTAGACCTAAAGGAATAACAATACAACTATATGTGAAAGTTGTTGAAGGCCTAAGGATGGAAGTCACCGTAAATGTAAACCGACAAGTAAGCACTGAAAGCCAGAATAAGCTCTAGCTGAAATCTGAAATAGCCATGGGATTACAAATTCTACCAAGAATTCCCAAGTTATCAGTGCTCCATGATCAAGCTAGTAACCCTGCCTCGTAATAAAATGACCCCACCACTGAAGCTTCAGAGCTTTGAGCTCTTTGTTCCATTCTGAATGCAAGGAAAGAAAGTACCTCAGGAAAGGTAAGAGGAAAAAAGATGATTAATCAGTATAAAAGATACAATGTAGATATATTAACCAAACTACAGTTGGAGTATCAATGGCAGCACCCCACTGAGGATGGAAGCTGACCATATTTAAAGTCCCTGTACACTAGTTCAGTTGTTCTTTCCGATATCACAGTGGTCAATCCCGAAAGTTGATTTTAGGCACTGATTTTGTTGGAAATCAGTTTGGTTGTCATCAAGTCTTATGAACAGTATCCCCATAGTTGCCTGTTAGAATGAAACGCCAAACACTGATCTATAGATCGCGGATCTTAGTTTAGTCTTCTCAACCGAACATCACTATGCATTGTTCCTTTACTGTCTATGATTAGTATACGAACTCAACAAAGTTCAAACACTTCAAGATAGAGATCTGATGCAGGTAAGTTAGGTTGGTAAGTGAACATGGGTATTCAATGTTTTTGAACAATAAAAGTTAACATCAAAATACTATACAAATATTAGTAGAACAACACACGGATATTATTGTCATCTAGAAATATAATCCCTTTTTCGACCCACAGTAATGCTCAGTAAATAGTAATTTTGCGAACTCAAAGGATAACCCTGTCGTACATGGACGTTAAGAAACGAGTGAATAATGGGCATGGTCAAAGATAGGAAGATGGATGGATTTTGACTGTAACAAGGTCTTCGCTATTTAACCATTGTCTGACCAAAATTTGACAGTTGTGACCATTACTTGAATATTTTACCATTATTGAACTATTCTAACCATGTGTCCAATCATAGTGGCTTTTTGCGCATTATTTAACCAAGATTTACCTGTTTTTGTCTAAGATATGTATATTTCAAGACTAAAACAGTATGTGTATACACAGGTTTAGTGTTATTTAAATACACTAATTCATTAAAATTGAAGTCTTCGTGTCTATGCATAGACTGAGTGATTTGTATGTGTGAACCAGACTAAGTCGGACAAAAATATGAATATCCTGGTTAGAAGATGGGCAAATAACCACTACAATTGAGCGAATGGTAAGAGTGGTTCAATAACAGTTAATGGTCACAGCGGCGAATTTCTGGCCATATAATGTTAAGAATCCTGTCACACTTCCTTACTACAGGCCATGCACATTATTCACCCTATTAACCACTTTTGTCCAACTGACTTTTGCCATTTATTCTCCCTTCCCTCTATTTTTTCAACACTATGTTGTTTCCACTCTTCCAAGGCAAATTTCAAAAATATAGAACGAGACAAAAGAACTGATATCAGTTCGAGTGCATTTTAACCGAACAATCAGATCGCTCAACAGTACAACTACAAGCTTTTCATAATCTTTGTTAATTTCCACTCTGATTCAGAAAGAGCTAGGGCACGACTAAGGCAGGGCTATGTTTAAGGTTAGGGGGCTACTTGCAACGATAATCATGGCAACATTGTTCGAAATAATGAGCAATGTGGACTTCATCTTCAGGTTATATTCATCAGAAAGTCTGTGACTCATTGGAGTAAGTGTATCCTGTAAATGCTACTTATGCAGAATCTGCTGAAGAGTCATTAGCAAGTCTAAAAATGGATCTGAATGGTTTATTGCTCTAGCCACTCCTATGAAAAAAAAAAATTGAGACCTACTTTTACAGTATATGAGAGACATCAGCCCTATGTAATTCATTTTCATTACACGTCTCTCCACTGAACACATTTTATTCTAATACTGCCACAAATTACCTAGGAGGTCAAGATATATTGATTCAAGGTTATTTGGTCATCTTCTCCCTTCAATTGTATAATATTGTCTTCAAAGTTTACGACTGCTTCAGCTCGTCACCACACCGCTTCAGATTCCTACCTTTATTATATAAATGCGGCACAACGAGCGGTAGTCACTCAATGAAGGGGAAGAGGACACAAGCTCCGTAATGACCTATTTATTTGTACAACGCAACAATCCAGACTACCCGCAATATCCAATATCCAATATCGCTTTTACGAGCTAGTATTAACCAATTTGATTTCTTTGTCCTCGCTTCTTGATTGTAAGGTATAGGTTCCTGATCTTCGGTAAACTTCTGTGTAGCTCGTCCTGCCACTCGACTGTCGTAGCTTTGGTTGACTCCTAAGGGAGTAGTGCTGGGATTAATTATATGTGGTTTGTAGTATGAGGTGTGTTAAGACTGTTACTACTGTGATTGGAGTTGATCCTTTCTCCAGTTAGTCCTTCGGTATCGTCGACAAGAGAAAAGAGATAGTATTAATAATGCTAATAATAGAAATAATTAGCGAAGTTATTCAGACTAAGAGACAGAAAAGGAAATAGGAAAGTGTAACAACAGTCAGCTGATTAAATTTGAAGAATAATATGAATAATATATATATACCGGTAATAATAATAATATTAACAAGTCGTCAGGAGAGTAAGACGGGAAAGAATGTAAAGAAGTAAAACGACGAGTTTAATTGTCTACCCCTGAATGGTGTATGCGATTTTAAGGGGATAGGCCATTTGGATGCAGTCCTTGTGTCACTGCATGGTTGTCCAGCCTTCGCATAAAGGCGTACACAGACGGTGCCATAGCTACATTTGCAGTTAAGGAATTTCTGGGACGGAAAATAAGCCCTACAAACATTATGTTATTGAACCTTGGATTGCTTTATAATCTTCGTTCATCTTATCACTTGTCTATTATCACTACTTAACAATATTGGATGTATAAGCAATGTATTTGATGAAGTACTTATGTATGTGGAAAATATTCATTAAGAGGAGTAACAGCTGCCGTTACGCGCGCTTCTTGAATACGACGTGCTTTTTCCTCTCAAACCGAAAAATACCAATTTCGTGAATTATCCGCTTGGGAAACCTGATCTCCCTAGCCGGTGAATTAAATTCAACTACTACTTACATAATAAATCTCTGTGTGGTGAGCCCAGCTGTCTCGAACTACTGACAAAGCTTCAGGTGCTACTTTTGTAGCAGCATCTTCCTTACTTGTTCAGATAAACAAGACTTGTTGGTCTACCACGTGATTGCTGTGAAGCCGATCATCCAGAAAGTACTAGGTAAAATCGAAAACCATTTATTTTCCTTGTCTTCTACTTTTTCAGTCATATTCTTGTTCGTTTGGATAGATACTGTTGCTTTCTTATTCGTTTATAGCAGAAGTCATACTGATTGTTAATATGGTTGTCGAAATTAGCCTTAGAAAAGCCACTAAAACACCCTACTCTGCTGTCACAAGGGCTTCAGCCAGAGAAGGAAAAAACCCAGGGACTTCAACCCCTTCCTGCATACCGATCCTAAAGACTCGTGTAGCTTTCATCTGTCCTGATACTACGCCTGCTTTGCCACAGTCTAGTACTGAAACGGAACAGGCAATACCTGGGGAACAGGACACTACACCTGCACCAACTGTATGCCAGTGTGTGAAACACAGCAAACCTGAAAGGAAACGTTCAAGACGTCATAAGACCTCGAAGGCGTCATCAAGGAAAGGAGATGAGCGTCAGGCGTGTAGTATCATAGTTTCTAAAACTGACTCAGCGTTTGAATGAAATTTTTGCAAACGATGGGTGCACAGCCGTTGTGAAATGGAGGTACCGAAAGCATACTACGAGTTTATGAGAAATAACCCATGTCCATGGTTTTGGTACATTTGTCCACTTTGCGCCCTGGCATAGTCCCTCAAAGAGTGTCTGTGGATAGCAGAAACAACGCGCCGCTCTTGTGTCTCAGCACAGTCTCATGCAGCTCCCACCTGCTAATATCACACTGCCAAAACTTGGTACAGACAATAAGAAGGACATATCAGTCCTAATGAATGGAAATGCCAGTTTTCACAAGGTGAAGATTCACAAGGTTGCACCCACAACATCAGGGAAAGATAGAATTGCAAATGCACCACTTGCATCCACTAGCAAGCCTGGCAACACAACAAAGGCTGGCCAAAATCTGATGAAGGCTAAAGTTGCTGACGTTGCAAAGGAATACAAGAAGCCGAAGGCCGAACCCAAGTCTGAGGTTAGTCGGTCTAATTCTGTTATCTTCTTTAACGTACCTGTGAGCAAAGATAGCCTGCTTGAACAACAGGCCCTGTTTGATCAGAAACAGTGGTCCAAATTGTGCAACAAATTAGGTCTGAACATTGGTTCAGTGAAATTGTGCAGGCTGTACAGGGGTGTCCACACGC